GGGGTGTATATTAATTATGGGGTGTATTAATTATGGGGGGGTGTATTAATAATGGGGGTGTATATTAATTATGGGGGTGTATTAATTATGGGGGAGTATTAATTATGGGGGGTGTATATTAATTATGGGGGTGTATTAATTATGGGGGTGGTGTATATTAATTATAGAGGGTGAATTAATTAAGGGGGGAATTAATTATGGGTAGTGGATTAATTAAGGGGGGGTGGATTAATTATGGGGGTGTATTAATTAAGTGGCTTGTATTAATTAAGGGGGATGGATTAATTATGGGGGGTTGATTAATTAGTGTGGATTAATTATGGGGTGGATTAATTATGGGGGAGTGGTTAATTAAGGGGGCGGATTAATTAGTGTGGATTAATTAAGGGTGTGTGTATCAATTAAGGGGGGTGGATTAATTAAGGGTGTGTGGATGAATTACTGTGGATTAATTAAGGGGTATGGATTAATTAAGGGGTATGGTTTAATTAAGGAGTGTGGATTAATTAAAAGAAACCTGGCACACTTTTTACAGGTTTTGGGTGGGGGGGGGTCAAGCACAGGATCCGCCCCGGGTGCCAAATGCTCTAGGTACGCCCCTGGGTCCAATGTCACCTTACTGCTAATTGTTTAGTGAAGGGATTCCATTATCAGTTATGCTCATGTAAAAAGATGTGTTAAAACCAACCATTATTGCATGATTCTTGGGCACTGATCTGTGGAGCCAAACCTATGTTAGTGTTCACATCCAGTTCAAAAATCCTGCATATATGTAACTATGTATGTAAATGGAATAGTGTTAAATAAGTTGTGGATAACTTGCCCTCGCTACGATCTCCTGAAGGAGCCTGCTTGCTAGCCTCCTGCCCCAGGACTGTGGGCAATGCTAAAAGGCTATTGAAAGACTGGGTTTGTGGGATTCCCTTGGACTGTATGGGAACCGAACCAACCAACGGACTGCGGACAACCTCTGAGCTTATTGACCCTTATTAGCCTCTTCTGACAGTTCCATCAGTGTGGGTTCTTATTGTGCGGCTGGGTGGCTGCCGTTCGTATGCACGAACGCATTGGAACTGTGTGGCCATCCTGTTCGCAAGAATGCAGGCAGTGGTGTTTGAGCGTTGATTGTGTGGAACTAAAATCAGACACAAACTCCCGAACACCGCTGAACTTGGACAAACACCTGCTCCTTCCCCACACATGTCAGGAGTGCACCATTCGGTAGGTTTGTTCATATGGTTCATACGAACAAACGCTGCCAAGAAGCCAGAGTATGCGTTCGGTATTTCTTTCACATGGAACTACCAAAGTTGACCAGCCAAAGGCACAAAACGCCCTGGAACTGTTTTGACCATAGGACCATGTGTGCGGCCGGTCAGAACTTCCACACGGTGGCGTTTTGGCTCTGTTCGTGGGATCTGAGCACTTTTTGGATATGTGCTCAGATCCAGGCTATCCGGGGATGTAGAGAATGTGGGCCTGTGGCCTGACAAAGCTACTGAGGCCTACTCACCTGGTGTGCACCACGGAGGGGAGAAACGTCCGATCTCCCAGCCTGGGACTACCGGTGTGAAGCAGCTGCCTCGTTTCCCCCCCTCTGAACCAGTGGGGGATATTCGGATCCCCACTGGAGTGCTGACCTGCTTGCAGTCAAACGACGGGACAGGGCCTGCAACACTGGCTCCCAGCCACGTGCGCTCCAAAATGGATACCGGCGGGAAGCCTATAGTGCAGTGATGGCGAACCTATGGCACAGCTGGAGTGACCGGCAGGAGGTGAGCGCATAGCGCAGAGCGCTCCCTCCTGCCAGGCACTCTGTGTAGCGTGGCCGAGCGCACCGCGGTACAGAAACTTATGTTTCCTGTACCCGGGCGGACGGAAATGAAGTGCTCACAGAGAGAGCACTTCCTGTCCGCCGGGTACAGGAAACTGAGCTCCGCGGCGCTCGGCCACGCTACAAGGTAGGAGCCTGGCGGGGACACACCCGTGGAGATGGGGGAGGGGAAGGGGAACCCGAGGGGAGAGATGAAGGGGACACCTGGAGGAGAGAGGGGAAGGGACACCTGAGGGGGGAAGTGAGGGGGACAACCTGAGGAGAGAGGGGAGGGGGACCTGAGCAGGGGACCTGAGGGAGAGAGGGGGGAAGGGGAACCTGAGGGAGAGAGGGGGGGAAGGGGACACCTGAGGGAGAGATGGGGGGAAGGGGACACCTGAGGGAGAGATGGGGGGGGACCCTGAGGGAGAGATGGGGGGGAAGGGGAACCTGAGGGAGAGAGATGGGGGACCCCGAGGGAGAGATGCTGGGGAAGGGGACCTGAGGAGAGATGCTGGGGTGGAAGGGGAACCTGAGGGGAGAGAGATGGGGACTGAGGGAGAGAGATGGGGACTGGGAGGGAGAGAGATGGGGGAACTGAGGGAGAGATATGGGGAACCGAGGGGAGAGAGATATGGGGAACTGAGGGAGGAGAGATATGGGGGGAAACTGAGGGAGAGATATGGGGGGGGAATGAGGGAGGGATGGGGGGAAAGAAAACAGTGGGGGGGGAGGGGAGAGAGGGGACGACATACACACAGCACCCCTGCCCTACACATATCACCCCACACAAACACACACACACATATCACCCCACACAAACACACACACACATCACCCCACACACATCACCCCACACAAACACATCACCCCCACACAAACACATCACCGCACACACAAACACATACCCCTCAATGCAGTGTGTGTATTTAGCAGTCTGTATGTGTGTACACTCAGCAGTCTGTGTGTGTGTGTACTCGGCAGTCTGTGTGTGTGTGTGTGTACTCGGCAGTCTGTGTGTGTGTGTGTATTTAGCAAACTGTGTACTCAGCAGTCTGTGTATTCAGCAGTCTGCTAAATACACATACAGACAGACTGCCGAGCACACACACAAACTGCTTAATACACACACAGAGATGTTAATTAGTTCAGACAACTGTATGAGTTGTTTTTTCTAAACTTAAACCTCAATATTCAGGTTTAATTGCCGTTTTGGCACTTTGAGGGAAAAAAAAATTGGCATGTATTACGGTTTGGGCACTCGGGCTCAAAAAGGTTCGCCATCACTGCTATAGTGCAACAATCAACCGCAACAGGGGCCTTATACGAGGAACGTATTGACAAAGCATTTGAGTGATTCTGGTCGCAGTTCTGGAATATGGGCAACACTCAACTGTTCCGATGACCAACTCTCACCTTGTAAGGAAGCATCCTGAAAGTAGATTAAGACCTACAGTCCTGAGCGCAGCCACCTTGGGGACCCGCGAGTCTGAAGAGCTGGACTGTGCCAAAGCCAGGGGCTTGTGGAGAACCATTCAGTGGGACTCAAGCTATTCCTTACTCCTGGGCATATATTGTGGGCACAAGCTGACATACCCTTACCTTCCCAATACCTGCACTCCGAAGGGCATCGGCTTAGTCAAACTTTTAACACAATGTATAGCCTATATAGCCTCCATAGCTGGCAGATGTATTACTTTGCTCTATGCTACGTTTATAGCTACTAACACATTCTTTTGTTACTGTGCCCTGTTATTGGGTCCTTTGCAAGAGCCTCCAGTGTTGCTTAACCCCTTCAGGACGGAGTCAATAGTACAGGTTCTGATCAAAACAAAATGTAAACAAAACCTGGAATTTGCGCTATATGTCTGTTCACCCATAGTTCACCTCTTTCATATTAAGTGCACCCACACTTATTATATATCATTTTGTTCAGGAGAAACAGGGCTTTAACTTCTCATAAACTATTCACATATGAAACATAACTTATTATGAATAAAATAAAAAAAAACTGTGAGAAATTAAGATTTAAAAATAAAATTGTAGTTCTGCCTGGCATTTTAGCTGTAAATGTCATGATACTGTTTGCTTTTCCTGCAATAAAATGTACATATTTGTATTCAGCAATGTCTCACGAATAAAACAATGAACAGATTTTATGGTGTTTTGGAAAGTTACAGGGTCAAATATAGCACATTCCATTTTTTATTTTTTTCACATTAAAATTTGCCAGATAAGTAATGTTACCTTTGTGACCGGGTGGTAGCCCAGGAATGAGAATTACCCCCATGATAGCATACCATTTGCAAAAGTACATTTCTTTGCTGCTATTAAATACAACTAGCAGTGGCTTATATAGGGTATATATACGGGTATTTCTATTTATTCCCCTTAACCCTTTTATCCACTTACAAGTACAGCCCGCTGTTCTTCTCTACTTGCCACCTGGTAACTATACTATTTATTCTGTTAAGTTCAGCAGCTACTTCTGAGATCCCCTTGTTTCAAGGGTCTCCGTCATTCAATTATATTTCTTTCTGGGTTACCCCCTATATTGTAGCTCTGAGGTAGGCTCTTTTTAAGACAGTTCTCACCAATTCACATATTTTTGTGATTATGGGGATCTGTCTTTTCATTCCTTTATACCTATTCTATGTATTCCACCTTGTATGGCAGTGATGGCGAACCTTTTTGAGCCCGAGTGCCCAAACCGTAATACATGCCAATTTTTTTTCCCCTCAAAGTGCCAAAACGGCAATTAAACCTGAATATTGAAGTTTAAGTTTAGAAAAAACAACTCATACAGTTGTCTGAACTAATTAACATCTCTGTGTGTGTATTAAGCAGTTTGTGTGTGTGCTCGGCAGTCTGTCTGTATGTGTATTTAGCAGACTGCTGAATACACAGACTGCTGAGTACACAGTTTGCTAAATACACACACACACACACAGACTGCCGAGTACACACACACACACACAGACTGCCGAGTACACACACACACACACACACACACACACAGACTGCCGAGTACACACACACACACAGACTGCTGAGTGTACACACACACAGACTGCTAAATACACACACTGCATTGAGGGGTATGTGTTTGTGTGTGCGGTGATGTGTTTGTGTGTGGGGTGATGTGTTTGTGTGGGGTGATGTGTGTGGGGTGATGTGTGTGTGTGTTTGTGTGGGGTGATATGTGTGTGTGTGTTTGTGTAGGGTGATATGTGTAGGGCAGGGGTGCTGTGTGTATGTCGTCCCCTCTCTCCCCTCCCCCTCCACTGTTTTCTTTCCCCCATCCCTCCCTCATTTCCCCCCCCATATCTCTCCCTCAGTTTCCCTCCCCATATCTCTCCCTCAGTTCCCCCCCCATATCTCTCCCTCAGTTCCCATATCTCTCCTCAGTTTCTATCTCCTCAGTTCCCCCCATCTCTCCCTCGGTCCCCATCTCTCTTCCTCCAGGTTCCCCTTCCCCCATCTCTCCCTCAGGTCCCCTTCCCCATCTCCCTCCCCTCAGGGTCCCCCATCTCTCCCCTCAGGTTTCCCCTTCCCCACCCCCCCCCTCTCAATCGGGTCCCCCCTCCCTCCCGGGTGTCCCCTCCCCTCTCTCCTCAGGGTGTACCCCTCCCATCCTCTCCTCAGGTGTCCCGCCCCTTCCCCCTCAGTTGTCCCCCTCCCCTCGGGTGTCCCCTCCCCCCTCGGGTGTCCCTTCCCCCTCAGGTGTCCCCTTCCCCATCTCCTCCCCGGGTGTCCCTTCCCCATCTCTCCCTCGGGTTCCCCTTCCCCCCTCTCTCCCTCAGGTCCCCCCACTCCCACTCAGGTGTCCCCCTCCCCCCTCTCTCCCTCAGATTGTCCCCTCCTTCCCCCCCTCAGGTGTCCCTTCCCCCCTCTCTCCCTCAGGTGTCCCTTCCCCATCTCTCCCTCAGGTTCCCCTTCCCCCTCCCCCATCTCTCCCTCAGGTTGTCCCCTTCCCCATCTCTCCCTCAGGTGTCCCCCCCCTTGAGCTCCTACCTTGTAGCGTGGCCGAGCGCACCGCGGAGCTCAGTTTCCTGTACCCGGCGGACAGGAAGTGCTCTCTCTGTGAGCACTTCATTTCCGTCCGCCCGGGTACAGGAAACATAAGTTCCTGTACCGCGGTGCGCTCGGCCACGCTACACAGAGTGCCTGGCAGGAGGGAGCGCTCTGCGCTATGCGCTCACCTCCTGCCGGTCACTCCGGCTTTGCGCCCGCCGGGCCGGTGCGCCCTAAGGCAGCCACTTGTGCCGCCCTATGGATGCGCCGGCGGAGCGCACCCTCCATCCCTCCGGCGACCTATGGCCGCGTGCCCACAGAGGGGGCTCGGCGTGCCACCTGTGGCACGCGTGCCATAGGTTCGCCATCACTGTTGTATGGTGATGATGAACGGCATATGGGGTACAGATGGAAGCCTATCGTTTAAACAGTTTAGGCTGTCAGTTGTTTAAATCCCCATTTTGCTGCTCAAACACAGGCCTGCAACGGTTCAGGTAAGTGCATTAGTAATTTACATCAAAACTAGTATAGGCACCTGGGTCTCTGTTCTTTTAGTCCCTCCTAGCTGCTTACATTAGGCTTCCTTCTAACAAATAGGTCACATTTAGGAGATTTGTGTGGTGAGCATTTAGGTAAGTTTATAAGGATGTTTGGTGCAAAAGAGTGCTGATAATACAAGTATGCATTGGGCAAAGTAGTGCTGATAATGCAAGGAGGCATTGTGCAAAGGAGTTCTGATAATGCAATTAGACATTGTGAAAAAAGAGTGCTAATAATGGATATCCTGGCTGTATAAAGTTTGCTGGAATTCCACAGCCTGAAGACAGAGAAATATCCAAGGTAAGAGAACTTTCTTGGATGCCTGATTGAAGTACATACATGTATATGACAGGTTTAAAAAAAACCTAACTCTAAGTCCACTTGTTTCTATCAAGGTATGTGGCATTGATTGCTGTTATCACAAATAAGCAGGCTATTGCAGACAGTGACAGAATATACTGCAAAGGAGACCACTGGGCCTCAGTATCTGTACATGAACTGGTGGTGGTACAGCATCAGTATGTTTCCACTATATGCTCTAATGTATGAATTGGTATGAAGTCTCAGTGTGTGTCCAGTATATACTCTAGATATGAGTTACCATGAGGACACCGCCTCAGTATATATACCCACTATATGCTGTATGTATGAGTTACAATGAGGACTCTGCCTCAGTATATGTATCCACTAGATGCTCTGTGTATGAGTTACTATGAGGACACAGCCTTAGTATATGTATCACTATATTGTCTATGTATGAGTTGATCTGGAGACTCTGCCTCAGTGTGTGTTCTTTATATGCTCTGAGTCGCTGTGAAAACACAGCCTCGGTATATGCCCTCTACATGCTCTATAGGTAAGATGGTGTGGAGACATTGCTTCAGTGTATCTGTTCTCTATATGATTGATGTATTAGTGGAAACACAATATATGTGAATCAGGGCCGGACTGGCCCACCGGGATACCGGGAAATTTCCCAGTGGGCCGCGGCACCTGGGGGCCGGCCGCGTTCCTGGCTGGAGCCGCCGGGCCAGGTGGCAGCTTCCCCGGTCCGGCGGCACTCCTCTCACTGCTGTGGCTGATGGAGGAGGAGCCTGTCTCCTTTACCATGCTCCCTCGCGGTTCCTGTGCCGGGAATCGCGAGGGAGCATGGTACAGAGACAGGCTCCTCCTCCATCAGCCACAGCAGTGACAGGAGCTGTCTGTCTGGGCGGCCGGCGCGCGAGGGAGCACTCTCCCCGGAGTGCTTCCTCTTCAGCTCCCTCGCGCGCCGCATTGATGCCGGAGCCGGAAGATGACGTCATCTTCCGGCTCCGGCGCATCTTGCGGCCTTGAAAGTAAGGAAAGAATGCTGCTGCCGGCCGCCAAACAGTGGCTGCTCGCGCCCGCTTGGTGACCCGGCTGCCGCCCAGACGGCCGCCCGCCCGTAGGGCCAGCAGCACCACTGGACCCCAGGGGAATCCCCAGCACTCAAAGGTAGGCTGGGGGGATTAAGAATAAAGAAAAAATGTGTGTGTGTTGGTGTTGGGGGTGTTAGTGGTGTGTGTTGGTGTGTGTGTGGTGTGTGTGTTGGTGTGTGTGTGTGTTGGGTGTGTGTGTCTGCTGGTGAGGTGTTGGTGTGTGTGTCTGCTGGTGGGTGTGTTAGTGTGTGTGTGTCTGCTGGGTAGGTGTGTTGGTGTGTGTCTGCTGTTAGGTGTGTGTGTTGGGTGTGTGTGTGTGTGTGTTTGTGTGTGTGTGTTTGTGTGTATGTTAGTGTGTGTGTGTTTGTGTGTGTGTTAGTGTGTGTTTTAGTGTTTGTTTGTGTTAGTGTGTGTGTCAGTGAGTGTGTCTGTTATTGGGTGTGTGTCTGCTAGTGGGTGTGTTACTGTGTGTGTCTGTTACTGAGTGTGTTTGATGTCTGTTAGTGAGTGTGTATTTGTCAGTGAAAGTGTATGTTTTGTAAGTGAGTGTGTATGTATGTCTGTCGCTGAGTGTGTCTCTGTCAGTAAATGTGTGTGTCTGTTAGCTAGTGTGTATGCGTCTGTTCGTGAGAGTGTGTGTGTGTGTCTTCAGCATTTACCTTTCTCCAGCGTCGGACTCCCCAGTGTCCGCCTCTCAGCTCCGAATGCACATGCGTGGCAAGACGCGCGCGGCGCATTTAAACCGCCCATAGGAAAGCATTACTTAATGCTTTCCTATGGACGTTCGCGGAAGCTCCTCTAGCAGCTGTCAATGAGACAGCCACCAGAGGCTGGATTAACCCTCAGTGAAACATAGCCGTTTCTCTGAAACGGCTATGTTTTCAGCTGCAGGGTTAAAACTAGAAGGACCTGGCACCCAGACCACTTCATTGAGCTGATGTGATCTGGGTGTCTGTAGTGGTCCTTTAAGTGTGTGTGCATACCGTGGTCGTGGGGTCGCAGCCCTGCAACCCCTGCGACCAGGTGCCCGCCGCCATATGTTGCGGCCGCGACCCGCGCTAAGCGCGGGGGGGGGCCCATGGATCAATTTTCGCACCTGGGCCCCATGGGTCATGTGTACGCCACTGCACACACACACACATTCACACACTGCCCCCACACACACACACCATACACATTTACACACTGCCCACCCACACACTGAACCTTTCACACACATTGCACCACTGCTCCTATACCCTACTACAGCCCCATATCCCAGCAGACTCCAGGTAAGTTGTCAAACTGTTCTTAAGCGGTTTGACGACTTACTCTGGGAGGGGGTGCCGACGCTCCTGGCACCATAACCACTACACAGAGGAGTAGTGGTTATTGTGCATGGAATATTTCTTTAAATAATCTACAAGTGCCCCTCTCAGGCTCAGGCTCTGGATCCGCCACTAGTATATGACATGTATATTAATGTGTGTATTAGATATATATATTTATATATATATCCATTATATTTACACATATTAATGTACATTTATAAATGCATAATACACAGAGAAATTTCATTAATATGTATCATATGTAATGAGCAGATATTGGCCCAATCTTGTTGCTAGGTGCATACTCCAGCACAATAACATATTTAAAGTGAAGAGCACACCCACAGGACTTCAAAATAAACATTTTTTACAGTTGTGCCCTACATACATTCACCATTTCAGTCCCAACAAGCTTTCCTTAATATGTCAAGGTAGTTGGACTGAAACATTGATTACATGCAAAGGCACGTCTGCTTAAAATAAATCTGCACTTTTGTTTATTTTTAAGCCTATGAGTGCGCTTTTTACGTTGAAGTACTTTTTAATTTTAAGTTATCTGTTCTAACTCTGTATCTGCACACTATGCTGGCGCGACGCATTATGGGGCTGGTAAAAAATTTTTTTCCAGGGCTGCTTTTAATTCCCAGTCCGGCCCTGATGTGAATAATATAAGTACATCCGCTATATGAGTCCAATCTAATACTGGTTCTATGTGTGGGTTGTCAGTCACAACCTCAGTATATGTGAGTGGTATATTATGTGCATGAAGTTCTGTTAAAACACAGCCTCAATTTATCTCACTCATATAATCTTAATATGTGTGCAGGCATAGTGTCACTGTATATAGCAGAGGGAGGCTATGTATGATTACTGTTTAAACAGACTCAGTATATGTGACCGATATATCTGTGCATAAGGTGCCGTTAGAAACATCCACAATGTATGTGATTCATATAATCTGTATGCAGATTGGTAGTATTAGATAACCCTAATTTATACACAGCATTGATAGATTTAATATATACAAATGATCTAAAGCCTGTTTTGCGCTGATACTTAGCACTGCCCAAGTCTAGCAAATACAAATGCACAGTTGTACTGGGTAAGTACGTATTGCCTACTGTGGATTTTCTATTTCAGTTTTTTAAATGAAGTAGATAAGGAAACATACTGCTTTTGGCTTTGTATTAGATTCCCTCTCCCACAGGTGTTTCAGGATAAGCAATTAACACATTTTACCACTTCAGATAGATTGCAGGTGTTTCTGAACCTGTCTGAGTGCATCTCCCTGGAGAGAAGGAGACCTGTTTTTCCAAACTGGAGCATGGTAATGTTTAACAGAATCAATGCTTTTTTGTGTGCACACCTATGTATTTATACATGAGACCATTCTACAAAAGGTTTTCTATTGCCAGGCATCCTCTCCTCTCTGTCCAAGATAGGGAATGCTTTTTTTCAATTGGTGGCAGGGTTTTACCTTCCGCTATATGCTGATTACTAATGCACAGCTTAGTAGATCATACTGGTTGCAGGAGCACAAATTGGGCTATTAATTGATCTCATAAGTAGGTAACACTGAAGACATTACCTGATTTAAAAATTGTTAATAATGTCTTTTCTTTCACCAGGTCATAACCTTTTATTCTTTAAATCTGAATAAATTTCCTTAAAGCATAAATTTTATATTCAGTATTCTCTTTTTTTATGCCTTGGGGACCTGAAAGTTTGGCAATACCTTTTTAGTATGTCAGAGGTGGCATGCTTTTGGTTCTTAAGGAGTTAATGATCAGAAACTTCTGACAGATTCCCCTGTTGTGAAGGGGAACATTATAATTTCCTTTCTGCAATAAAGGTATTATTTTAGGCTCATATGCTCCAGGTAACTTTGATGCTGTGTATTGCAAGTATTTTAAGGTCTTTCCAGTCCCCAGACCATTCTACTAGGTTTACTATTTCAGGTAAAATTGACCTGCTGCCTGAACAACAGAGGAAATCCCTAAACAGGTAGTTCCCTTTACGGACCTCTGTTCTGATATTCATGGGGATTCATCTAGGTGTCCTTATATCTGGAATTTGCAACCAATGTGTGGCTTTATCCTGCATAATGTAATGCAGCTTGTTGATGACAAACATTTGACTGATATGTTTTACATGGTCCCTGTACCTAGATCGGTATAAGTTATGGTCTCTCCTAACATTGCATTTATTTAATACTTGTGGATTATATGTTTGGATTGGTGTTGATATCTTGCAGATATAACAAGTTGCTTATTATCACCATAGTCTCTGCCATAAGTACTTCTTCACTATCTGAAGATAAGGTAAGGGTAAGTATGCGGTTGTTGTTCTCATAAGGATAACTGAAAATCTTCTACTATCCTGCCTATTATGTGTCTGTTGTCACAATGTATAATGTGCCTCTGGTTACCACCTTCCCATCAGTATCTTGCCTATTACATATCTCTTACTTATGTTGCACAACAGTCTCTAATAAATTTGATTATACTGTTTGGCACAATCTGTACTATTTACAAATGTTGGTACTGACGTGATTGGCCTCCTTATAATTTAGTAGTTGCCACAAATTCTATGGTTCATACTGATTTCTTTTTTTTCCTCAACTAATCTGTGTATGATTCTTCTTGCCGTTGCCTAGTAATGTTATTAGTTTATTCCTCTGCTGTGACTGATCATTGCTGTATCAATTCATCCACTGTGTGAGGTATTGTTATGAATCTGAATTTTGCAACATCTGGTCATTGTTGCAGTGTTTAATAACACTCTTATTTCTCTACTAGGCTCTGCCTCTTTCTGACAGGCAGATATTGATTTGTTCTTGTATCTTCAGGTAAGTAGTTCACTAGGCAAGAGGAAGCGGTGTGAATCGTATTTAATAAATACATCCAGTAAGCAGTAGGATTCTCAGTGTAATTCTCCCTGTGTTTAATAGCATGGTGTGTCCGTTCTCATCCAACATTATCTGCTTGTTCCAGTGTGATCTCTGGAAGTTATGCCTTTGTTATCAATTCTGTTTTAAATTTTATATCAGAATAACATTATCCTTCTCTAGCTTATGCTATCATGGCCTTAATTCCTATCTGTCTCTCTATATTTATTCAGGATATTTCAGATATTGAATGCCAGGAGGTTGCTGACCTTGCAGCCTCTAGGGAAAATGATCTTTTCTGAGCAGATTTTATGACAATATCCTATTGATTCTTGTTTGGCTTTGTAAAGTCTTATAAGATTTATACAGCTCAATAATAGTTTTATAGCAATTAGCTGTTTTTGAACTCTGTCCTTCCCTAACTATATACTGCTTGGGTATTCCCCATGAGTAAATGCTGCCATGAATAATCAGGAAAATGGTTTCATACTTACCGTAATTTTCTTTTCCTGATCATTGTTCATGGCAGCATCTACGTTCCCACCCATATACTATAAGAGTTGTGAAGCTAGTTATAAAGACTGCCTTATGGGAAGGGGGAGAATCTATTTATACCAGTTTCAAAGTTCTATTTCCTGTCCTTTCTGCTGTGAGGGGAGGAGCTAACCCCATGAGTAAATGCTGCCATGAATAATTATCAGGAAAAGAAAATTACGGTAAGTATGAAACTATTTTCCATTAGTGTGTGTGTGTGTGTGTGTGTGTGTGTGTGCGCCTTCATTCTAAGTGTTTTTAAATAATATATGTACTTATATTAACATTAAATTACACTATGTATGATGTTACATATATATATAAAATGTATGTTTGTGTGTGTGTGTATAAATACTTTTAATTTGTTTCGCACCAGCAGGGGGACTGTCTGAGATTTGCTGGCAAATCCACAGCCAGCTATAGGGGGCCATGATTTGCCGGGGGAGGGCTGCCTGGGCTGTCAGGCAGTCCTCCCGAAGAGGATCGCGGCGGAGGTAAGTAGCTGGAGGCTCCTGGGGCTGAAAGCCGTTACGGCGTTCTATGCCGCCGGAACGACTTCAAAGCCCATTTAAACAGGGACGGCATAGAACGCCGTAACGGCGTTAAGGGGTTAACTTGTGCAAATTCCCACAGTTCTATCCTAAAGCTTCACATTCTTTGACTAACCACATAGAATTGTGAATATGCTGATTTTTTTTCTCTCGTTTGATATAAAATGTGCTACAATCTCGTCATTTCATGTTGCATCTACATTCTTTTCATGTCAAATACTTGTGAAATGACCATGCAAATATGTCTGTTGTAATATTCACATCAAAAATAAAGAATTAATAAGCAAGTGTTTTTATGGTATTTCATATTTGTTACTGTCACAAAAACTATGCATTTTGTGGGTGTGTTTATGGGAGTGTCTACTGTACCAGATTTTGTATAAATGTAATCCATTTGGCTGGGAATAAACAGATCTACTTCACCCTTCACTCAGTCTCAACTAGTGTTTGGGTGAAACTGCGGTTACCTTTCGGCAGCAACTAATCACAACTGGAAGGGGCGACCACAGGCGGTATTAACCCATCTTCAGGAGAGTAAAGCGATACATAAGTGTGATTTGACAATGCATATTTTTCACACAATATTAGACTGGTTTATTTGTCCGGCTGAATAAACACTACTGCATACAACATAATTGTTAGGGGAACCAGTCTTGTGTGTTCTTTGAGGGGTCTCTGTTTTCTTGGAGTGGAATGAGGGGTCTCGGATTTCTTCTCTGGTTTTCTTTGCTTCTTGGGGGTAGTATCTACATTTGGTGGTTTTGATATGGGTAAGAGTCAGCTGTAACCTTATTTTTTTGCAACAATCAGCACAGCTGAAGGCACCAAACCTGCAGAAAGTAGACAATACTGTAAAATGAAGCATATAATATAAAAAAGAAGAAAAACAGTGAATTGTTAGGAGAGCTCTTTGACAGCAATAAATAATATACATATATACCTAGTTCCTGCAAAGGCTTCTCCATGTCATCTTCTGTGAAGACCCTCCGTGGGAAAGTTGTCAGGAGGTTAAAAGGTTCTCCTGCACCACCAGGCCAATTAAGTTCCACGTATACCCGTACTGCAGCTAACTGTTCACGAGCACGGAACGTCTGAGACAAGGCTGAGCCATCCAGAAGACGTATCTGTCAATATATGTATATTACGTTCAAGTTGAGAAATAGGCTTTGTATAATACTCCACTATTATGTTTCATTTATTGGCATCTACTAGGGAGACTACAATTGTGTGATCACGTAAGCAGTTCAGAGGGGTTACTCCAATCACCCTGACCACTTCAGTGATTTGAAGTGATCATGGTGCTTGGAGTCTGCATGTGCAGCATATCACATTAGGAGATTAACGCTTCTGCTGCCATTAGGGCATCATTAGCCAACCCTGGAACAAGGATGCCTCTCACCTGGGAGGCGACTTTGAACTGGCAAAACCCTATTTTACTAACAATCTAAACACTTGATTTGTATTTAGTAAATTAAACAATTTTCAAAGGACTAAGTCAACAACTGATTTTTTTTTATTTTTAAAGTCAGGAAAGAAAATCCACCTAGTGCAGTGGTTTCCAACCATTTTTCACTTGTGTATTCCTTGGCAGTCCATTTACACAAATTGTATTCCTTGTATTAGCAAATTGTAATTAATATATTTCAAATTTATACGTTTTTCTCCGCCCCATTTTCATTTTTTTTCTCTGCCCAGGCTCCCCTGCCGCAGGCTCTCCTTGTGGCCGGCTGCAATTTCCAACATCAATAACCAATAATGGGCGTTGGCCACACTTATTTATTCGCAGTGGTCTGCGATTTAACTTTAAGACAAACAGAGAGGATCCTTCAGTGCACTGTTTGCCTTAAAGTAAATCTGACCCTGTGCAAGCAGAGCACGTTGATGTCCGTATGTGACACGCCTCCCCTAGAACAGCAGCGCCTGGCCGAGGATTGCAGTGGATGCAACTTCACGTTGGATTCGGACTGTTGCTGGAAATTAATGTAAGCGCTATGTCACTGCCAGAGTGGCGGGCTCTTTCCTCAACTGGGCCTTTGAATAATTTGCAAAATACCCGACTACTCAGTTTGCCCCCGGTTCCGCCATTATGGTGGGTTTTCTTTTGCGTACTCCTTGGGAAATTGGATCTTAGCTCAAGGGTTATGTATACCACAGGTTGGGAACTGCCGACTTAGACCTTCATACGTGAATGCATTGATAACAAAACTGATCATCACCATGTGATCTTATGCACTAGGGCTGACATTTTGGAAACATAAAATATTTAAAGCACTGTGTACATCTGTACAAAGCATATTTATAGATTACAGAATTGGTACATTTTTTAAGAATTACACGCGCACTGAATATGAATTAGGGGCTAATCTTAAGTGTCAACTAGTCACAAATAATTGCCTGGAAAGCAGGAGGCTAAATAAACTGGCAGCCATACACCACAACTGTTGTGGTAATGTAAACAAGTAAAACAAGGTCTAACAATAACTGACATCTAACAATGCTACACCAAGACAGCAGCCACAAATAATATGTAGAAAAATATTTTAAAAAAATAGTATCAACAATAATACAGGCAACTGTGTATCTCAATGTAGCTACAATAATCCAAAAAGTCTAATAAAAACAATGTCCTTGGTTCCTTTTGTATATTATACTGACAGGGCTCTGCAGTGACATTGGGAATAATGAATATTGTAGTTCATATACCTAGGTTACAAGATGTAAGTCCTGGTTGGAGACGTAACCTCAACAGAGTTGTTTCATTTAATTGTAGCACTGCCTTCCTGTATACAATTAGTGCAATTTCCTTCACCTTCAAGTCATTCTCCTTTGATACATCTCACCCACTCTACTCTTGTAGTTTTGGCTACTTCCTCAGATTCTAACAATAAGTCTAATGCTTTGAAATACTATTCATAAAATTCTTCTATCCAGTACTTTTAATATCAAACTCATCTGATTTCAACTGGTGATGCTGATTAATCTAGGTTTTTCTTTTTTTTTTTTTTTTACTCCATGCATCATAACCACTACATTCTGCTGGCCACATTTCTCGGTAACAGGGCAAACTATTCTGCAAAGGTTTGTCCACTTAGCTGGATCTCTTTCTGGCACTGAAAGTCCTCTATGACATGCATCCGGGTTCTGCACAGCTGCAGAAGACTTATGTCGATCCCACTAGTCATTATTGGCAGAGATTGTCAGCTGACTGCTCTTAGCCAATTAATGCAAATCTGTTCATGGAAATATGCATGAAATTGACCTTAGCAATCCCAGAACTTAACTTCTGGCGGAAGTGGTCAAGGTGCTTGCAGTAACCCATTAAGACAAGAATATTTTTTAAAGCACATAGTCAAGAATTCTATTTAAATACACTGATGTGCAGTGAAAAGTCACTGGAGATCTCTCACTGTATTAAAATTCTTTGTTTAACAGGATTGTCATGCACTTCTAATGTTAGCCGTTGTTCGGGTGCACTAATATATGGGTCATTGAACAACAGGAAATGTAATGCTGCTAAATTACTGTGATAAACACATGCACATAATTCAACATTATTCTATAGGATTGTCTCTTTTTGGTTTATAGTGTACATGAGGATTTCATTAGCAAGAATTTGTCCTTGACGTGTTTGGTGTTAAGACACACATGTATACAATTTAAATAACTAGCTCCATGCTTGCCAATGTCTTAATGTTTATCATAATTATAAGCCATCTAAGGTAAGACATGGGGTCTTATTAAAGCACATATGGATTTGGTTGTACAGCCACTATCAAGGTTATTACTTGCATCTTTTTCTATTAGCTGAAGCTTTCTAACCTATTACATTGCTTTCTTGTACTCTACAGATACAATGAGATATATATATATATATATATACACACACACACACACACAATATGTTTAACCCTCTGTGAGGTGTTCCCAACATAATGCAAAGCAACTTATAGGAGTAAAACACAGTAAACAGCCCTATTTCCCTACTGTGTACCTGAATACGGCATTGATCATATTCTTTCTTAACTGGTGGTTCTTGTGTTGGGGAAGACGGTGACAGTGCGGAAGCTGGAATGGGGGTCTCTGCTGGAGGAGACACTGGTTCAGCCGTTGCACCCCCAAACTAAAAAAACAGGAAAAAAATACGACAATGTTGAAACTTATTTTTTACATGCAATATCTCTACTAATGTGCATAAAAGTAGGGTTAATCAATCTTCCCCTAGTAATCAGAAAGTATGTTGTAATTGCATACCTTCCAACATTTTAAATGGATGAAGAGGAACACTTTCATATTAGGGGTTTGAGTGAGGGTGTGGCTGTTCCGGGATATTCTAGATACTAATAACAATTTATGCAACTAAAACAGAGTGTGAACCTCTGAGAACAGGCAAAAAATTTAGAGAAACGTAGTAGCTTGCCTTTTGGTTAGTTCCCGCTCAGGTCTCAAAAAAGTTTTTGGCTCATTAGTGCCATTACAAAGAGAACCTCTACTATTTGCATATCAGACTGAATTAACCCATAAGGGCGGTCCAGAACTTAAATGCCAGCAAGTCCTTTCTGCACAAGAGATATAGCTACCCGGGCAATCTTTTTAGTCTTCTTTGGGTGTAGCTGGTATCCTTCTTGACACAGTAAGCATAGGGTCCATGTTTGGATTAGACTTTTAGCTTAGGAAGAGCTCAAGCAAATGAATTGCAATACAGACAGAAAATGAGAACTCCAAGAACAGGCAAAGGCTTAGAGAAACTCAGTAGCTTGTTTTCTAAGCTTTGCATTGTAGAACACTAACAAAGTATTTTATATACACAGACTGATGAGTAACACATTTTTTTGTAGTTTAAAGACACTAAAGACTTACTGTGAGCATGATTAATGTGGAGGTCTGTTTTAACTCAGACACATTAACAATATGGAGCTCATAGGAAAGATGGACATTAGGACAGAAAAGAGGGACAGATGGATTTTGGCCCAAAATAGGAACTAAGTCTCCAAGAGACACTTTGAAAGTATGTAATCTCTTCCTTGACATATCCCTTAAGACTTTGTCATTATGCAGAGGTCCACTTGCATTTCAATTAGAAAATAACAGGTTAACTGGTAATATAACTCACCTTTCTTGCTCGCTCTGCTTTATCTCGTGCAATTTTCTCTCTAACACGCTCCCTGTAAGTAGAAATGCTTGATTTAATAAACTTAACCACCACTATACACTTTCACCTGACCACAGATGTATTTATTCTTTGAAATCCTCCACATTCCTTGTGTGTTATCACATTTTAGCTTTTACCTTTACTAAGCATTTAAGACACAAACATTATGAAACTCAGAAAAGGGGAGGTATAGATTAAGTTATTTTTTGAAACACTTTATTAGAACATTTTGTAATTTCACAGAACAAAAAGAGATTGATAGAAAATGTTTCTTGAAGTAGTGCTATGTTTACTTTATGTCAATAATGTTCGTGTGTTAATGTATATCTGTGCTCTGGAATTTTTATACCCTGGCAGGTGAAGGGGAGAATACCCAATGTATACCCTACACAATGTGTATGTCATGCCATGTATCTGGTAGAATTTTGCTATTCAATATGTACTGCCCCTTATGTTACCTTTTCCCGTTGCTGAGCAATGGGTCTCTCGGACCAGCACCAGTACCCTCTCCTAAGTGTGACAAAATCCCTTCTTTTATGTAATAATCTAGAGTGAAGTGTGAACTCAAGTAGAAGTTAATGTATTGATATCTCAGAGTATAGGATGGCCAAGAAAGTGGAAAGAATTATTCAGGGTGGGGTTCGGTTCCAAAAGGAATAAAAGCCATAATTCATCATTGAGACTTATCGGGAGTACCAGAACTTGTGTGCCTGGCATTTTGTTTCTGAACTTTCCTTATATGTTAGATTAGCCGTATGGCCTCATTGACCAGTTTAATCTGTAATAGTACAAACAAAATTTGTTTCAGAATATCCCTTGAGAACACCATCCCATAGTGCTAGCTATTAACCCATTCACTTTGGAAATTGTACATACACGATTCCCAGGGTATGCACTCATACCCAGGAATTGTGTTTACACGATTTTAAAATTTGCCAATAAAATTAGCATATTTTTATGCTCATACAGCTGAGCCAATACTGCCATTATAGCACTGGCGCTGCTGAGACTCCCGGCAGATGCACATACTGGTGGGGATATATATATTTCCTTAACTGGCCCTGCAATGCTCACATAGGAAATCTACAACTCTGAGGAGAGGTACAGATTGCTGCTGATGTTCCCTCCCATTGAGAGGGGTCTGCACTCAGCTGGAAGTTTAGAACTACAATAAGAGCCCACCAAGGAGCAGTGTGTGGGGAGACTAAACATAAACACACAGGAACCCCCACATTAATGTAAGCACAATAGGAGAACATATAGAATAATATATGTGAGAGTACAATAGACAATGCAGGGAAACATGTTTATGATACATAATCAGGAATGTTATTATTTGCAATACTATTTCCTTATCTATAACTTCAGTATTTGATTAATCTTTTTTTTCAATGTTGCTCCCACTAAAGAATCTAAATACACTAAATACATTTAAACATATCTTTCAAGAATACCCCAAATATTTGGAACTGTGGTGTTTTTTTCCCAAACCGCTTGGCAGTGAAGAGGTTAAGCAGGAGTCTGTTTTCTTGTGGGATCTTTCACACTTGGTTTTATGCACTAAATATAAAATTGTGGTGAAATGAAAACTGGACACAGTGCTCTGCACTAGTACTTGAGGTTTTACTTGTCCTTTCTCATTAACAATGTGGTAGTGGACTAAGCTGCAATTAATAACTCCATCTGAATTACTGACCACTGATTGGAGTGCTAAGAAGCACAGAACATAATTGTGAACGGGTAAAATAGACAATAATTATAATGCAGATGTATCTGGGCTCAAAATTTCCACTCGCCCAAAAGCCATTGACAAATTTCACCCCTGGTGAGTTGCCATGTACCCTACCCTTGCTTGCAGGGGTGAGTAACTTTTAGGCCTGTATAGTAGCGCAAGACTTAAAATTTGAGGCCTGGATATATTTTTGCTTCAGGCACCATGGCACTTCCATAAAATTCTCACCTGGCTTTTAATTCCTCCTGTTTTTCTTTTCTCCTATCGTCGGCTAATTTCTGCATCTCTTGCTCCTGTAGCCTTTGTCTGATTGCTGACAGTTCTTGTCCCTGTTTCCGTCTCTGCTTCTCCTGCTCGATCTTTTCTCTCTTTTCTCGCTCCTCGCGCTCCCTTTGCTTTTGAGCAATTAGCTCCATCATCCTGCAGACAACCATTCCATGAATTAACATCATATAAATCGGATTCTAAAGGTATCACCGCTGCGTCAGCTCCACGCTCTTGTCATTAGACCAATGATGGCTAGTCTTCGTCAATACAGCTTTTGTGGACTACAGTTATGATGAGATTCCTTCAGTAGAATATAGAAAATATAGTTCACAACAGCTGCAATGCCAAAGATCATCCATCTGGGAGGGAGATCAGCGTATAGTTTAGTTAACCAAGACACCATTTTTGATCCAGAGAATTTACTGTGCTTATCTTCCCAGGTCTGCAAGTGTCCTTTACAGAGTTCTTGATGAGTTTAAAAATTTAGGAAAGACTTACCTTTTTGTCTGCTTTTCTTTTTCCTCTTCAGTCAAAAAAGCTCTCCCTTTATTAATGAACACATATATAGAACAAAATCAAACACAATTCATTAACATCAGCACAACCAAAGACAGAAATAGTTCTCTGGAGAAAACATTTTAAATAAATATATAGATTTAGAAATGATGAGAAACATACACACATAATTGGATACTGTTTTTACTTAGATACCCCATGCTACCTATCCCTTCCCTGGTGTATGTATTACTCTGGAGATCTACAGCAGAGATCCAAAAGCTGTTGGGCTCAGATTCTCAATGGTTGAAGCCAACCAGCTTTCCTAATCACCTAAAAATATTTAATAAAAACAAACAAAACAAACTAGGGTTCCCACAGACTTGTTTTTAAATATAACAATATAATGTTCTTTTTCTTATAAAGGGACACTCTAGGTACCGTTACCACTTTAACTCGTTGAAGTGCTTATAGTACCGGTTGTCCCCTGGCACCATCCCACCATTTAGTATTAAAACATTTTAAGTGGTTTAATGGTGAGCAAGGGCCTCTGGCAGCTGAGAGGTGGCTCCTCCTAGTTTCTTGGACTAGTGAAGAAGCATTAACCCTAGCACCAACAGACAGCATATCTTTGCTTTACACTGCTCATATGAAGGTGTACAGTTAACAAAGCATTCCCCGCTCCCCCCCCCCCTCCCGGCACCTGGGTTGTGGCTGACAAAGAGCCCTCATTCAGTGTTCAATTATTTAAAAATGGTATAGCATTGAATGAAGAGAGGGCACCAAGGAACTCTAGGCACTACAAACACTTAAAAATGCATACATTTCACACAGTACTTTGACAAATATTATCTTATGCTTCAGAATTAAAAATGCACAAGAAGGGAAGGGTAAATGCTAACATGATATATTAAAGCTATTCTGTCACAAAAAACAAACTTCATCTAAACTGCTTCTAGATAAAAAAAAACTGTCTGAGTCTTCTAGATTTCATACAATACATAAAGAAAAGTTAAGCCTACTTTCACCTATGTATAGCAGCCAAGTCAACAAAAGTTGACAACGTGGGGGCAGCTTAAAACAAAGTTCTGGTTCAGTTACCAGTCAAATTTACCCACAATGTGAAGCACAATCTGCCCCACAGTTGGACAAACAGATGGCACCATGGGCTGGGGAGAACAAACTGGCTATGTCCAGATTCAGCACAAGGAAGAAAGTATAATAAATATAACTAAAGGCAAGTGTAAAGGGAAGGAGCGTAATTATTAAGATACATCAGGTATAAAGAAAGAACAACCAAAAAGAAACAAAATATGTAAGAGACATTTTAAAAAAAACATCAACTGGTGACATAAGTGTAAAAGCTGCATAATTCATCAGATAAATGGGACTAGCAGTAGGAGAAAATAATATACAGGTAACAGTTGTGAAAACTTCTCATATAAAATATATAAATAGTGCATATATCTCAGAGTTCTCTGTCAGGATCAGTACAGCACATTTCTAAATCGGACAGTGATCATTTACAGAGTCAAGTACAGCAGTCTTAAAGGGATACCCTAAGTATCAAAACAACTTTAGCACAATTAAGCAGTTTGGGTATATCATGCCATTGCAGTTTCACTGCTCAATTCTCCATTTGAAAGTTAAATGACTTATTTCTTATGCTGCAGTCCTAGGTGCACAGAAACATGGTTTCATTTTCAATCTGCTCTAACAGAAAAGTGTGTTTACATTAGATGTTTATATCTCTTGCCATGTTAATTGAACATTAATCACACACGTACAGGTTCTAGCAGGGCATAAGAAATTCTAAATTAAACAGACTGTGCATTAGATCTCTCTTTACAGGAAGTGTGTAGGGGGGCTCTGTAAGTCCCATGCAAGGAGGTGTGACTAGGGCTGCATAAACAAAATGATTTAACACCTAAATGACAGAGACTTGAGCAGTGAGACTGTAGGAGCATGATCTATACACAAAAACGGCTTCATTAAACTAAAGATGTTTGGGGTTTTTAATGTGTCCCTTTAATATTTCTACCAAATTCACGTCTTTGATAAGACCTGTATTTGACCAAAAATTTGTTATATATGTACTCGTCTATGTAAAGGAGTGTTACTCGATTTGGATGTGTGCTGGTCTTACTATCATTCCTATTCATTCTCCAGTCAGGTGATATCTAACCTGCACTTGTATCCATGTCTTCTGTCATTTCTGTACTTTCAGTTTCTTCAGGAACAGGTTCACTAGTTTCTATTTCTTCTTCGATATCAGGATCGTCTTCATGCTCCACCAGCCTGAAGGAAATTGTCAAAATAACAGTGTTGACCTTGGCAGGCAGATTACACACTGCACACAAAGGAAAGGCAACAAAATTATCTTACCAGTCCATGGCAGACTCTATCCCCTGGTTCCCAGTGGCAGCAAGAGCCTTTTTACTGTAAAAAACGTAACAGTTAAACTCAGCAAAATATCTATATTAGGTAATCGACGAGATCTATGAGGATAAAGGGTCACACATAGATTACATGATAATGCTTAGAACAGTGCCAGGACCTTGCTGAAGGTAGGGAGGGAATATGTGTAAAGGAGGTATAAAAAGGGTGATAAATGTTGGCAAACATCTGGGGAACAGAGCGAAGATGTGAGAAAGCTAGGTCATCGTATCAATTATTATGGCATGCGATGTGAAGGGTATACGAAGAATTTTGATATGACGATTCTGTGCAAGCTATGGGGTGATCCTGACGGGTGTAATAAAGATATACCATGGTTGGTGAGGGGTGATATTGAGGAGTGTAAGGAGAGATGATTTATTCAGGTGCATGGTAATAAGAGAAGGCTGGCATCTTAAAACACTTTTGCACCTAGTTAGGTCCCATTTTGTTCCTATAATTATTATTTCTTTATTTTTACTGAATGTCTGGCATTGCTAGAAGCAAACTGACAGCATTGGGTTAACATTTTTTTTTTCAATTAGGTACTACAGTTACCTGCAGCAATTGTTTTCTGCAAGCATGAACACTAGTACAGAGAAATCCAGTGTGAGGTGGTATGCTATGATAGGAGCAAGGTGATAGATGCTTGCTACAATGATAAGTGAGGTGTGAATTCATTAGAATGCAGAACAGTGTGCTGAAATGCTATTATTTGATGAGTAAAACAGATAATTAACTTGCAATTTAGTTATCAAAACAGACTAATGTTTTTGTTGTTTATATTGCTAAATTGTGGAAGGCCTAAATTCTGGAGCATATAAATGCTTCCACAGAACAGGGTCCACGTGTGGGACAAAAATACTGGACTCTGAGGAAGTTCCTTGCAAGAAACGAAACACGTTAGCAACTCCCTCCTATTTGCACCCGTCTGCACATTGTCTTCCAATGCAATACTTTGTGATTAATAAAGCAGTCATTTACCGACAAGATTGAGTCTGGTATTTTTCTCCTGCATGTGGACCCAGCCCCGTGGAAGCATTTATAGGTTAAGTGGTAGAAGAATCCACACACCAGGACTTTCTGACCGTGGGACCATTTTATTCTTTACCTGCTTTGACGTTGGTCTGCTACATTATATGTTATGAATTCTGGAGTACCCATGTAAGGCACAGTACCAGAGTGAGTAAAATGGCAAGGCTAAGGGCATTTTATTCTCATGGAAAAGTGGAACAAATTAATGCAAATAGCTATATAGTAGACAATTCAGCACAAATGTTCAATTATTTAATATAATTTATGCAAACTTGTTCATCCTTTTACCAACTCAGTGGATATTTCTTTTTAAAAGTGACACTAAGTAAGCACATACCATTACATTTGTGACCAATACTTAAATTTTGATATACACTAATACAAATTCTGAAAAATGCTTTTGCCGTGTATATAATATCCAATGCACTTCCATTAGTCATCATTTAATGGTGAGTAATGTGGATAGATGGCTAGGGCCTGGTGACAATGATGGGCCTCTTAAAAACAATAAAGACTGGAATGTGAATCATGAAGGGGGGGGGAAGGGGCGGGTAGTGTCTAACTTGTATTGCTAAAGATGACTAGTTGTAAATATATTGGAAAGGATTTAAAAAGGGAGTATCCAAAGTTTAAATTTATTATCAAAATGACATTTTTTATCCCAGTTATTCTTAGTGTATTAGCTTTGGTGGATATATGTGAGGAGGAGGAATTGCAATACCAGGTCAGGTTATACAAAGATATTGTGAGGGCTGGTTATGGGTTAACAGTAGATTAATAATGATTTTCAAAAAAAATACATAAATGAAATAAAACACATTACGCTCTATTTTGGGTGAAACCCATTTCTACGAGGCTCTCCAGGGCAGAAGTATCAGACATTTCTAGAAAGAAACAAAACAGATTTGTAACCATTTAAAACAGCATGTATTAATATAAGATACACAACAAATTAGAGATAACAAGAGGCATGCAGCTCTACTACTATGGATATACATATAATGGAGAGTACATACGTTTACAGGCACAATATTGATTTTATTTTTACATTTAACACATTTTTACACCGTCCTATCTATATATATTTTATATAGCACTATACATCTTAAAGTAATCAAACACCGCGCCAAGCTTAATACATTCCGACCATTCCTACCGGACTCTAAAAATTAAACAATGAGTAACGAAGCTAGGCGTGTATAATAAACACAGGGGGAACATAATAGATTTCATAGCATTCCATAATAACCACATGGGCACACTGAACGTTCGGACTATGCGGCTATAACCGCTCGGTACATGCACAGTGCAATACTTGGTATAGAAGGGTAACTATAGAATATATAAAGCTATATTTCATTATCTCGATATATAGCTAGGTGACGTCACGTGGTCTCACTCACCGGCGGCTCTTGAAAACCACGTGACGCTGCACCCTGGGAGGGGCTATGTCACCTACTTCCGTTTTATGGTGGCCTGGAAGGGCCAAACTTAGCTATTGCCCGTGACGTCGCCAGAAAGGCGGGGCTTGCTGTATTAGCAGTGTGCCTGTTTTACCCTATACAGTGTCGGACAAGGGAGAGTATCTTGCAGTATGGACTACGTTTCCCGTGATGCTCAGCCAACTGGCTCTCAAGCTAAGCGTCACGGGAAACGTAGTCTAAAGCAGAGGAGAACAAAGGTTTAATTGAGAATGGATTTTGTGTTCACGCATGGCTGTTTACTACATAGTACATAAGACAGAGAATATTTATTGAGGTTTACTATTATGCACAGGGATTAAGGAAAACAGTACTTAGTATTATTAAGCTAATTTTGGTTATTTACACAGCCCTGTAAATGTCTCCAAATAGCAAATGTCTTTTAATTTGATCCAAATTGGCAATTGCAAATGAATAGGGAATTTTATATGTTTTACTATGGACATGTTACGTGTCTCACTGCAAGCTTGAATTGAATATGGTGTTTATTAAATGTTATTAACTGTTGAAAAACTTCCAGAGAGGGTTGCTATGACACCCAAATAAATACATACAACAAATACAGGTTGTGCCATGGATATTATTATATTTATATAGCGCCAAACAAATTCCGTAGCGCTTTACAATGTGTGGACTAGCAAACATGTAATTGTAACCAGAGAAGTTTGACGCACAGAAACAGTAGTTGAGGGAACTGCTCAATGAGCTTACATGATAGAGAGGGGTAAAATGACACAAAAGGCAAGGGAAGTATTAGGGAAGTAGATTGATAGAATAGTATTCAATGAAGACTTAGTATGGGGGTTTTTGGAGCCATAAACAGTTTCATTGATATGCTTTTGGGAAAAAGTGAGTTTTTAATGATTTTTTGAAGAATTGGAGACTGGGTGAGCTTCTAACGGAAAAGGGAAGGGAGTTCCACATGAATGGTACAGCCCTAGAGAAGTCTTGAATGCGAGCATCAGAGGTGGGAGTACGAACAGAGGATAGACGCAGGTCTTCGGCAGAGCGTAGGGACCTAGACTGGACATACTTGTGTATTATGATATGTGAAACAAGATAATTGAAAGAAAAGTCCAAGAGATACAGACCAACATTTTTCACTTGTTACTGTTGTAACCGTGTAAGCGTGCAGAAGCCGAACACAGAGAGATGGACACAGGTATTCAGGAAGTAAGAGGCCTTTATTCACATTACCGATCGGGTCTCAGATGAACTCCTGTTCCAAAATTCTGAGCACTGAATACATAGAGTATATTCCTTATATAGCACTGTAGCTCCTCCCATAATTAGCTACGCCCACACATACCCTTAACCTAATCAATGAATAGAGTCTAAACTCATCCATCCGGTCTAACCACGTGGCTCATCTGAAACAAAGGAGAGGGACGCGTAATTCCAGTTCCTGCATTCCTGCACATGCTCAGTACAGTGATGACAGTATCTTAGCTACGTGTAACTAACTAACTGATACTACAAACACATGTACCTACATATGCCTTGTGGCAATCTTGGCCTGCTAAACTTTTATTTTACTGGAATTCCATCACACTGTCTGTTATTTCACAGGTGATTCTTGTTTTGGTATCTCATAAGTACACGTGAAAAGACAGAAAAAGGGAAAACCTACGGTGTATTATGTTAATAAAATATGCGGGGGTGGTATAAGGAATCCTATACTTACCTTGGTGGTCCGCCGATTGGCTGTTCCCCCGATCAAGCAGACCGCCTCCTTCAGCCTTCCTACCTGATCTGATAGTGTCCGGACGCTGTGCACATGCCCCTTTTTATGACGTGGAGCATGCGTGCTGGTCAGACTAAGGCCAGTACTACGGGCAGGATTTAGAAACGCCCTCTTACGTTTTGGGAGTGACTACATTAATCACGTCCCCAAACATATAAAAGCTCACTTAACCAACGTTTCAGTGCCCTGTTGTGGTTCCTAGCTTGCTAGTGTACCAAGAGTGTTTTTGTATCTATCTGGTTTTGACTCGGCTTCTTCCCTGACTATTCTGATTTCTGGTTCCCTTAACTAGGCTCTGATATTTTGTATTTGCTGTTTACTGGTTCCCTTTGACTTTGGCCTGTTTTGACTATTCTCTTTTTTCTTACTTTCAGTCCGGCCATTCTAAGGTCTGGTGTAGGTAATTGCATTTTTACCTATAGGAGGGTTACTATTCTGTCCGTTGGGACACTCTATATTTGTGACAGTGGTGGGGTGACACCAAAGAATGTGCAAATCGTTCACTCACATGTGCCAGAGATTTCAACCAGCTCTGGATTTGACAGAGTACAGTGATATACAATCACTAATGATGGATATGTGAATGTCACAGCCTGTTCAGCAGCATAAACATGAATGTATACCGGTATATAACAAAAAAAGAAGAAATACGATAGTGCTCTCTGTAATACTGAGTGTATAGTATAAAATCGAACAAAAGCCGTACTCACATTTTCAAGAACAGTTAAACCTCTCAGAGTTTTCAGCACCTTTTTTTCCTTCTCTTTTCATGTGTAATTATAAGCTACCAAAACAATAAGGTTAACCATCTGTGAAATAACAGACAGTAACCAGTGAAAGATGTGGACTGTATTTCTTGGATTTTTCTATACAATTGCCTGACTTCACATATCATATTTTAGGTGCAACCTGTATTTGTTGTTTCTAGTTCTGTTTGTTCAAGCTGCAGAGGGTACCCCTTATAATAAGTGTTTGCTGCTCATATTTATCTTGTTAGTTCAATTGTTAGGGCTTATCCTCTCTTGTATATTGTCCCACCAAAATAAGTACACGGGACTCCACAAACTCTAAAGTGAACTCCTGAAGATGTTGAATAAATGCATCAAAGATTGATGTGGTTCATATACCACTTCTCTTTACTGATAAGTAACCTTGTGCAGATTTTTTTGTATTAAGCTTTTTTGAGCAGGACCTGATTCACCTACTGTTCCCATATGTCAAATGTATTTTGTCAGAATGAATTGTTTGTCTTGGTTTATCTATTGTACAGCACTGTAGAATATGTTGGTGCTGTCAGGATTACTACTTGATCCAGCACGTAGAATTGTGTCACACAGAGGACTAATAGGTAACGTTTTACCGGGCCTTAGAATGGCCGGACTAACATGCCAAAGAATAGTCAGTATACTAGCCGAGGTCAGGGGACACAGAAAGGGACACAACGATAAAGGAAAGCCAGAGGTCAAGGATACCAGAATACAGGGAAGTCAAAATCAAAGCCAAAGTAAAAAACCAGAATATAACTGTTCAGGAACGCGCTCTCGGACAACCACTAGGGAAACCACCACAGAGCAAAGAGGAAAGGTAATTTTGAGTTTAAATACCTGCTTTACCTTTCTGATTGGCCAAGATTGGTCTGACATATTATGCACGCCGACGTTAATCATGTGGGCGGACATGGGGGTACAATTAGCCGTGGATCCGCAGCGGCCGGCGTCCATTAATATGCCGCAAGTGTTAGTCATGCAGACACACGCATGCTTACTGCAGAGACCGCAAGGTGAGATAGAGTATGTTACAGGGGCTAAATAAATAATTGTAATAAATATCATTGCATTGGCCTTAGACAGGTTCTGTCTCACTAAGAGATAGTAACTTACAATCAGAACTTGAAGCAACACCTAACGTAATGGGTACAAATAGGATAGGAAGAGTATTATTGGTCCTTAGATGTGGCTGCATTTTATGAGCAAATGATAAAGGAATAGTCAGAGTAAATCGAGATCAAGGACAGAAGACATACACAGTATCAACATGAAAATCTAGGACAAAGGGTAAGAGCAAGATTATCAAGATTGGCCAAGTCAAAATACCAAAAAAACACTTATAAATCAGGAATGCGCTATTGGGGCAATGGAGACCACAAAAGGGCACTAAGCATCCGTAAGGATCAGCAATTTAGAATATTTGGAGATATGACGCCATTTCCATGCATTTAAAATGCAAGTGACTTCCTGTGTTATGCAATTCTGCATTTGTTGCTTCATTACGCTCACAATCATTGAATGCCTCACCGAATCAGAGGTGCCACTGCCCAATTCTGCAAGAAATTCCAAAACAGTCAAGAGATATACTGAGACACAGTAAGGACTATTGTCTCAGTATATTTCCTACGCCTGACACTTATAGGCACTTGGCGGGCTATCCCCATCTAGAAGTTTCAATCCTCCCAGCCATCATCAGTGACGGCTGCTGGAAATTTGCGCTGTCTATGGAGGTTACGTGGTCCTTCATAGATTGCTATGCTTTACTCTCGCGGCATGAGCGAGAGTGCAGCAGTGATGTTGGCTCCTGGCGCTGAAGCATCAGGAGGTGAAGAGGACCCGCCGGAAGATGGATGTGCATGCACGGGACATGTTCAGGTAAGTAAACTCCCATTTACCTGCCTCATGGCCTCCATACCCTCAGTGACAATGTCAACATCAGGAGTCTTTGCAAATTTCGCAATGTCCCCAGATGGTGGCAGTGCCGCTTTAAAGTTTTATTAATTTTACGGAAATGGTAAAAGTTGCTATCTTTGAGAAAGTAATGAATAAATAATTGTATTAATCTTTCATCCTTTTCATCTCCCAAAATTTGTTTTGCTTTTTGTATGCACATATCTCTAGCTATAATTACAACTGCAAAACCAAAGATATTTATTTTATCACCTTTGGTAGTACTATGACCACTTTATAGTTAATAAGGTTTCTTTTGAAGTTCTAGGGTTTGTTGGTTCAGGTAAGGCACTAGCCTTGTGAGGTGCCGAGGTAACTAGGGACAGTTTTCATTCCATTTTTACTATGGGACTCTATTTGACCTATGCAGAACTTTTTTTTTTAATGGTTTTTATATAGCCCTATTTGACTGGTAAATATTTGAGAATCTTTTAGATACTATCTGACTTGGACCTCACCCTCCACCCAGGAGAAGTGGTTCATGAACGGTTTTACTTTATCTATATTAGTATTTCCTTGATTGCCCGCCCTGCCCTAGAACCTCTCTATTATCACCATTGCTGTTTTGGGCTATCCCAATTTTAATGTTAGATTTAGTAAAGTTTATTTTTATCGCTCCCCTTTTCTTTACTGTGCTCTCTCCCAGTGTGATCCCATCTGTTTGTGAATCACGATGAGATTTATTTTTGTTATTTGTGTAAAATTACAACTGTACCCTCTTTGTCCGGAGATTTTACCACTAAACTTTGCTCTCTATACATTTAAAATGATTTGTTTCTCCTTTTTCATCAAATTATTTTTTAAATTCCATTTATTTTTCTGGGACCTTTTTCCAATTCTTATGAAACCATTTCTAGAAATAAACTGGCATAAATTCTCCCTTGTTCCATCTGGGGTAAAATTTGGATTTTGGTTTCATCTGCGTATGTCTTGTCGTATGTCATCTGTGACATTCTACGATGTTTTAATTTCATCTCTATTTCAATTTTTTACATAATAACGTTTAAAGGTTTCTGATCAAACTTCTGTAAACCCATAAAAACCTCAAACTGCTTAACATTAGTGTTCCACATGGGTAAGGAGACTCCTCCTGATAACAGAAAAAGGATATTCTGTCCACTTGAAATATAAAATTAAGAAAACAGTGATTCTAAGGAACATTAAACCGCCACACATTTCATAAAATCCTTTCAATCCCCGCTTCCCCAGGTTTTCCCTATAACTTCTTTTTATTCCCCACTTATGGGTTTAAAATCATCACTTTGACATACAGCCAGTGGCGGATCCAGAGCCTGATCTCGGGAGGGGCACTTGTAGATTATTTAAAGAAATAATCCAGACACAATAACTACTATAGCTCAGTGTAGTGGTTATGGTGTCAATAGTGCCGGGACCCCCTGCTAGAGTAAGTAGTCAAACCGTTTAAGAACAGTTTGACAACTTACCTGAGGTCTGCTGGGAAATGGGGCGGTAGTAGGGCATAGGAGCAGTGGTGTGTGTGAGTGGTGCAATGTGTAAGGGGTGCAGTGTGTGTGTGTGTGAGGGGGACAGTGTGTGAGCAGTGTGTGTGTGTGTGTGTGAAGGTTGTAGTGTGTGAGTAGGGGGGGCAGTGTATGTCAGGGATGCAGTGTATGTGTGGGACAGTATGTGTGTGTAACAGTTGCAGTGTGTGTGTGAATGTGGGCAATGTGTGTGTATGGGGGCAGTGTATGGGGGCAGTGTATGTGTGGGGGCAGTATGTGTATGGGGGCAATGTGTGTATGGGGCATGTGTGTATGGGGGCAGTATGTGTGTATGGGGGGCAGTATGTGTATGGGGGCAGTATGTGTATGGGAAGGTAATGGTGTGTATAAAGGAAGTATGTGTACAAAAGGTGCCAGGCATGTAAAGGTGTGCGCATGCAAAGGCATGTGTGTATGGGGGGGCAAGCATGTGTGTACAAAAGTGCGCTTACAAAGGCAGTATGTGTGTATGCTGGGGGGCAGCATGGGGGTAGTATGTGTGCATGGGGGGCAGTATGTGTGTGGCTGAGGGCAGTATGTGTGCATGGGGGGGCAGTATGTGTGTATGGGGGGGGGCAGTATGTGCATGGGGGGCAGTATGTGTGTATGGGGGGCAGCATGTGTATGGGGCAGCATGTGTGTATGGGGGGGTGCATGTGGCTGGAAGCAGCATGTATGGGGGGGCAGCATGTGTATGGGGGGGGGCAGCATGTGCATGGGGCAGTATGTGTGTATGGGGGGCAGCATGTGTGTATGGGGGGCAGCATGGGGCAGTATGTGTGTATGGGGGGAAGCATGGGGGCAATGTATATGTGTGTGTGTATGGGGCAGTATGTGTGTGTTGGGGGCATGTGTGCTGGGGCAGTGGGTGGCTAGGGGGGGTAGCATGTGGCATGGGGGTAGCATGTGTGCGCTGGGGGGGCAAAGTATGTGTATGGGGGCAGTAGCTGGGGGTAGTATGTGCATGGGGGGCGGGGGGGCAGGTGTGTATGGGGGGGCAGTATGTGTATGGGGGGCAGTATGGGGGGGTAGTATGTGTATGGGGGGGCAGTATGTGTGTATGGGGGGCAGTATGGGGGCTATGTGTGTGTGTTAAGGGTAGGGGGGGGCTTTTTTTTTTATAATATGTATCTTTATTTATTTAATTAAAAAAAACAAATATTCTATGTCCCCCCTCCCTTCTTACCTTTATTGAGGAGGAGGGGGGACATATTTTCATCCCTGGTGGTCCCAGTGGTGATTCCCTGGTGGTCCCAGTGGTTACAGTGAACTCTAGCCCGCGCTCCCGGGCTAGAGTTCACTCTCGCGAGATTTGGAGCGTTGCCGTGGTAACCGCGGCAACGCTCCAAATCTCACGAGAGGAGGACCCGGAGGAGCTGCAGACTGAGCTCCCGGGTCCTCCCTCTCCCTCCCCTGCCGGCCGCCAGCACAGTGCCTGCGGACCGGGGAGGGAGATCTCTGATCTCCCCTCCGGTCCACAGGCACATTGCAGGGCTAGCGCCTGCATGTGCTGGCAGGGGAGGGAGACCGGCGGATTTCTGGGGGGGCAATTGCCCCGTTGCCCCCCCCCGGATCCGCCAGTGCATACAGCATATAAAAATATAGAGCAAAACAGACCAGTGGCTTACGTTCTAGACCAGAAGTAGGAAACCTTTGGCACGGCAGATGTTGTGGATTATTTTTCCCCTGATGCTTGGCCAGCATTATGGTTGTAAGAGCACTCTGGTAGATGTCCACAACATCTGGAAGTCCGAAGGTTACATACCCCTGTAATCTAGACCAGGCTTCCCCCAAACAACGGCCCTCCAGATGTTGCTGAACTACAACTCCCATGATTCTATGAATGAAATAGATAGGCTGAGAATCATGGGAGTTGTAGTTCAGCAACATGTGGAGGGCCGGAGTTTGGGGAAGCCTGATCTGGACTCTTTTTAAAGTGCTTATTAGTACAAAACATGTAGATTGTAAGCCATTGGTTTCGTTCGTAGCGAGCCTTGCCATATTTGACTGTGCAATTTAATATCAATTCTACTGTGTCTTTAATATGGACCGTTTTTTTTTTATACGCCACTGGGAAGGCAGGTATTGTGCAAACCTATTAATTAATTTAATACCGTATACGATAAGAAAGACAGGATGCTCATCTGTGCATTTTTAAAAAATTTTTTATTAACTGACTATTATGGAAGCATATTTATTGCGCTTTTAGTTTTTTTCTATTAAACATTGCCTTATTGACCCATTCAGGATATTTTTTAAAAAAAAATTTTTATTTCTGTGAGGGTTTCCTTCGCTTGGATTCTCATGGTAAACTTAGATTACAACTCCCATGACACTAAGCCAAACATGACCAGGTATTTAGAAATCACCTCATATTTATCAGAAATTTGATCTGTTTTTTTTTTTTAAATAAATCTATTTATTCTAATTGTAAGAGTTGATTTAGTCCACTGTCTCGAATTCATCATCATATATTACCAATCATATGTCCACTTATTAATGGTCATTATGCTAAATTTAATGGTCATTTTTTTGTGGAGGGGGGGCTCCTCATGTGTCTCGTGCCTGATGGGGGCGCTCGTGCCATACCGAATAACGGTCACAGCTCAGTCTCACTTTACCTCAGAGAGCTCTCTCCTATACAGTCTGGGCTTTCTTATAGCAGCTTCGGGCAGGAGGGCTCAGCAAATGGCGGCCGAGGCATGCTATATGGGGACCGTGCTCAGTGACCCGCACCAAGGTAAACTGAGTCCTCTCCACAGGGTGTAAAGAAATGATTCAAGGATGGGTACATGAGAGGGACACCTCCTGCCCTTTACCTCGTGTTAAACAGGACTGACAATAAATACAACAAAGGAGACATGCCTACCATCCTAAACATGGCAAATAGAAAGGAAAATAGCAAGCTAGGTTATTAATGGGAATTTAACATTTTAGGCCACAGTAGTCTAATTGAAAATAAATAAATAATACTTAAAGTCGGCTGGATAGTTTTGTCAAATGCCTGAATTTTAAAATTAGTCTTTCACTGCATTTATGTAGTCTGGCCTAAGATTTGATATTATATAACTATTTCAGCATGTTTAAGTAGTTATGGTGCCAGGGGATGCTTGCAGACTTTAGTTTAATGTCTGAAACTGATAAAATGTGGCTTAAAGGATCAGTTTGGGCACCTTAACAACTTCAGTGAAATTAAGTTGTTTTAGTACAATGAGGTCCCTGGTGCTGGCTCACCTTTAGGGGTTAAACTGTTCATGAACGGTTTAACACCACAGTGTGTGCTCTAACGCTAAATTGTTCTGCCACCCCCCTGTCCTTCCACTACGGGAAGTCCCGGATAATGGCAGGCTTGGGCAGTGACACCACCAGGTGGCTTGACATAGAGCCGTCATGTGATGCCCTAAGCCAATCCGTAGCTCCCCATTGGTAAAAAAAGAAGGTACGTACCTTGCCTACAACCTCCATCAAGAAACAACTAAAATATATTAGGTCACATAAAACATAAAAATAAGAGTAATTAAAAGGGACACTATAGTCACCCAGACCACTTCAGCTCAATGAAGTGGTCTGGGTGCCAGGTCCCTCAGGTTTTAACCCTTCACATGTAAACGTAACAGTTTCAGAGAAACTGCTATGTTTACATTTGGGGATAATCCAGCCTCTAGTGGCTGTCTTCCGGACAGCCACTAGAGGCGCATCCGCGACGCTGGAGGTGAGTTTCGCCTCCATCGCGCAGAGTGTCCATAGGAAAGCATTGAGAAATGCTTTCCTATGGACACTTTGAATGCGCGCACTTGATGCGCATTCGGCTCCAGTGACGTCGGACGGGGGAGCTGATGTCAGACGGAGAGACCATTTAAAGGCTCAGAAACCCTCTGCAGGTGTTATGGCTTACTTAGCTGATTAGAGTGGGACACTGTGAGCCTAGAATATTGCACCTTTTCACAATATTCTAATTTACTGAGATTGTGAATTTGGGGTTTTCATGAGCTGTAAGCCATATTTATCGCACTTATGACAAATCACGGCTTGAACTATCTTGCTTTGCATGTAATGCGTCTATCTCATATATTAGTTTCCCCTTTTACGTTGCATTACTGAAATAAATGAACTTTTGCACAATATTAACATTTTTTGAGTATCACCTGTATATAATACACTCACAAGGGGCAAAGTGATAAAATTAAATGGAAAACCAGAGATGGAGTATTCATCATAATCCCTGGTTTCCAACCACATAATAGAAAACTCGAGTAGTATCTGATAATTAATATTCCCAAGCTAAATAAAGTTGAAGAGCATTTCCATATTAGTGCTGACATTTCAACTCATTAGTAAAAGTTGGTACATCAACTAGAAAGTGCAATGCATGTGCATTAGGTCTTCCCCGACAACTGACGTCGGCGAGGCAGGAGCTAAGATGGAGCCCAAGCCAGTACTGAGGGACAGCCCTTCCACGTGTCATTTCCCGCCGGCACCTCCATTATTATTATTATTATTTATATATAAATTCTGCAGCATCTTATTCCTCCCCCCGTGAGGATTACAGTATGATCCAGCACGTAGAATTGTGTAACACAGAGAACTGATAGGTAACGTATACCGGACCTTAGAATGGCCGGACTAACGTACCAAAGAATAGCCAGGAATAGCCGAGTTCAAGGGACACAGAAATAGACACAACGATAAGGAAAAGCCAGGGGTCAGGGATGCCAGAAAACAGGGAAGTCAAAACCAATGCCAAATTTAAAATACCAGAATAAATAACGCGCTCTCAGACAACCACAACAGGGCACTGAGCAGGATGAGAACTGGGTCTAAATACCCCTCCTCTGGATCTGATAGGCTGTAATCGGCCTTTGACCCCAAAGGCAGTTACCAGGTTTCCATTTGCATAATTGCTGCTCAGCACAAACCCTCCTGTGGATTTGATTGCTGCTCGGCACAACTTTTCCTGTCAGGACAGTAATGTTGCTCGGCACAACTTTTCCTGTCAGAACAGTAAATGTCATTAATCACATTTTTATATGCGGATGAATATGTGACACAGTATCTCCATGTATCTCATTCCCCCCAGCCTCTCCATGTGTCTCATTCCGTTACTCCCAGTCCCTACATGTGTCTCATCCCCCTCCCCAAACCCTCAATGTATCTCATATTTGTGTTCAGCCATGTCTCATTAGTACAACAGTACCCCCCATGTACAGATTTTATGTGGTTTTGGAAACTTACAGGGTCAAATATAGGGCTTTCCATTTTTCAGTTTTTACTCATTAAAATTTGTCAGATTGGTTATTTTGGTTGTATTTTGGATTTGTGCTGCCCTAGGCATGACGAAACTCAGGAACCCCTTAATGTAAGAAAGAAAGTTTCTATATAATATATATATACCTCAAGTGGAGCGCTATAAATGTTGATATAGTGCAGATTGTAAAACACTTGTGCAATTTAGGTGAGGTAGATAAATGGATTACTCACATTTTCAAGAGCCTATATTATTGGCTTTGTAAACTGGACTGGTATGTTTTTTAGGGCAGCATCCCACCACTGTTTCCTGTTGAAATTTTTCTCCGGGAAAATAAAAACAATAGGAACATCCAATGTGTAGTATAATTAGTTCAAGGATATCTTGGATAGAATATAAATAGGCATTATGCTCACCTTTTCCAGAGCCTTAAAGTCATGGCTTTATACCTTATCACTAACACATCTGTTGTAACACACTTTCTCTCAAAAGGAGATTCCGGTTTTAGTTTACCCCCTAATCTAAATTTGCCCCATCCTTTACTGTCAAGGCCACATCTCTTCCTGTTTAAGACTAACACACACTTTGACTGACAGACACAAACTGACACACTAACTCAGTAACAGGCACGCACTGAAGGCCGCCTTTCCCCATGGGCACGCTGGGTAGTTTCATCTCCCATGCCGCCGCCATGCAGAGCAGGCCCCGCTATCTGCCTTCACGGGCCAATGGGGAGATCAAAGATCTCCCTCACCGGTCCAAAGGCTGTTTGCTGCTACAGATGGAGGTAGGGAGCTAAATCCTGTGAGGCAGAACGCTCCTCCCATGAGCAGGCAGGTCGGAGCAATGCTGTGCGCTACCATTTTAAAGGTAAAAAAATAAAAAATAAAATAAAATATATATATATATATATAAATATATTAAAAAATTTGCTCCCTCCCCCCCCCACACACTGAACCCCATACACACACTTCCCCCAAACACATTGCATCCTCCACACACTGTGCACCCTCACACACACATACTGCATTCTCCACACACACACTGCACTCCTCACACACACAGCACCCCCTTCACTCACAGACACACACACAGACCACCCCTCACACACCCTTTAAAGAGGATAGCAAGGCATCTGCCGGGGTGCTTGGGAGGGCAGCATTTTTTATTCCGTCCCATGAAGGTCCTGCCTAATGCAAATGCCTTGTTAGCCTCATGGGAGGTACAGCATGTCCTGAGTACAACAGTACCCCCCATGTACAGGTTTTATGGTGTTTTGGAGAGTTACAGGGTTAAATATAGGGAAAAATACATTCTCTGGACTTTCTGTCTGGGTTGTCCGACAAGTCCCTCAAATTGTAATTAATAAAATTACTTAATTATGTCAAAATACATTAAAACCACCTGTCAGTGGTTTTAATGTTGTGGCTGATCATTGTATATTAATATACACTTATCAGCCATGGCATTAAAACCACTTATAGTGAAGTAAATAACATTGATTATATCCTTACAATGGCACCAGTCAATGACTAGGATATACAAGAGAGCAAGTGAACAGTCATTTCTTGAATTTCATGTGTTGGAAGCAAGAAAAATGGGCAACAAAAAGATGTGTGTGACTTTAACAAGGACCAAATAGAGATGGTTAGATGACTTGGGTCAGCATCTCCAAAGTCTTGTGGGGTGTTACCGGAATGCAGTGGTTAGTACCTACCAAAAGTGGTGCAAGGAAGGGCAACCAATGAACTGCGCCAGGGTCATGGGCAACCAAACTTCATTGATGCATGTGGGGAGCAAAGACTAACCCTTCTGGTCTTATCATACCGAAAATCTACTATAGCTCAAATTGCTGAAAAACTTAATGCTGACCATGATAGTGTCAGAACACACAGTGCATTGCAGTTTGCTGTGTATAGGGGTGCATAGCCACAGACCGGCCACAGTGCCCTTGATGACACCTGTCCACAGCCAAAAACACCTTCAATGTTTATGTGAGTTTCAGAACTGGACCGCAGAGCAATTGAATGAGCTTGCCTGGTCTGGTGAATCATGTTTTCTTTTAGATAAGGTGGATGATCGGGTGCATGTGGGTCGTTTACCTGGGGAAGAGATGGCAGCAGGATGCAGTATTGTGAAGAAGGCAGTGTTATACTTTGGGCAATATTCTCCTGGAAATCTTGGGTCTTGACATTCATGTGTGTGGCAGTATACCCTCCAGAAGATGGGTTACTACCGCCTAGTTCACCCGTTCCAAGTTGTGAATTGCTCCAGATTAATTATAGCCGCCTGCACAGGCTAACATGTTCTCACCCAAGCACTAGTCTAGACTTAGTGAAGGGTGAAGAAGAACTGGTTTATTAAGGCAAGGTACACTGAATTTATACAGAGACCCCCAGCAGGGGGTCTCCATCTAGAAAAACCCGGGTAGTAGGTAACAGGTGGATGGCACCTCCAGCTACTTGAATGCCCGCCCAGACATCGCTGTGTCTGGGAGATAATTGTGTCAACTCTCGGATAAACTAATTATCTGCCAGACACAAAAAGCCGAACATATATAAAAAAAAAAATGAATACATACTATGCAGTAACACACCCCCACATGCCATAAATCCCCGGAAAGGTCTTTCTGGAGCGCACAATCTGTCTAAAAAGCGCCCGGATCGGATCTGGCTAGCCCGAATTAGGTGGAAGTCCAAAGTTCAGTGGGACGCTGCTAGCCACTGATACGGCAGAGAGTTCCAGCGGGCTGGGTAGAATTTCACGGTCACCTTCAAACGCAGCGCTTTCCGCAAATGCAAGGAGCTCCCCCAAGTTCTAGGTGTCATTTCATGCCTCTTTCTCTCCTCTATAAACCCTTCAATTAGGTGACGAAGGCCGACTTGGGGATAGCCTCCTCGGCCAGGGGAGTCTGCCAGTACCGATACGATAGTCGATAGTGGTCAGATATCGTCCCCTGGCAATACGGTCCAATAGCTAATTTACTCTGTACATTGGATAGGCATCTGTCACAGATTTGTTGTTAAGATGCCGGTAGTCTACACAGAATTGTTTTTATGTGTCCCTTCCCGGACTGTCTCGGGAATGCGGTAAGGGGACTGCCTAAGGGGGGCCTTCCCTGAGGTTTCTACCTTGTGGACCACTATCTGGGTTTACCCGGGGTTCTGGGAAAAAGTCTCTTTTCGACCAATAACTGTCTGGCTTGCCCTTTTTCTCGGGGGTTTAACCCTTCCCCTAACTGCACTTGCTAAAGGTCTCCCTCAGGTTTCCCTTTTCCCAGGAGGTTAGGAAGGGGTAGGCTATCTGGGTCATCTGAGGGGAGGGGAGGGCACATACTGCGGCCACGTCCCCTGCTCTCATGGTACACTTTCAACATATTTACGTTGAAAGTGTACCTGAGCGGCCCGTTGGTACAACTAGCCACCACATAAGCAAAGAGGAGGTGAGGTAGGAACCTCTCCCAGTCTCTACAAGCTCTACAAGGGGTCCAGTGTTGTCACCCGGCGGCCGGTCTTGTGGGCGGGCACGCGAGGGAGCACTCTCCCTGGCTGAGTACTTCCTCTTCAGCTCCCTCGCGCGCCGCATACTGATGCCAGCGCCGGAAGATGACGTCATCTTCCGGCTCTGGCATCAGTGCGGTGCGCGAGGGAACCGAAGAGGAAGCACTCAGCCAGGGAGAGTGCTCCTTCGCACGCCCGCCCGCCGGGTGTCAGCAGGGCCAGTCTCAGGGGGGCCCTGAGGTGACCGCCTGCTGGGCCCCCCAGGAGAAGAGGCTGGCCCAGTGGGTACATACCGGGTCGCAGAGCCACCTGCGACCCGGTATGTACACCACTGAATGTGGGGCCCGGACGACCTGAGCAGTCCGGGGCCCCCAGGACCGCCTGGCACGGTTGTCATGCCCTGATGGCGGCCCTGCCTAACACTATAGTGTTCCATTAATATGAATGCTACACATTTAGGTAAAAATGATATTTCTTAAGGTCTAAATTGATAGCTAGTGAGTATTAAATGCTTCACAATCTGGCAAGTGCTGTCACTGTATATAGTGATGTCACATCTGCTGTGACTAATTGTAGTCATGCTCCCATTTTGTTATTATTTTATGAACTTATTTTAAAACACTCTTTTTACTGCAAATTAAAGGACCACTATAGTGCCAGGAAAACATACTCGTTTTCCTGGCACTATAGTGCCCTGAGGGTGCCCCCACCCTCAGGGACCCCCTCCCGCCCGGCTCTGGATGGGGGAAAGAGGTTAAATCTTACCTTTTTCCAGCGCTGGGCGGAGAGCTCTCTGCCTCCTCTCCTCCTCCGATCCGCCCCGTCGGCTGAATGCGCATGCGCGGCAAGAGCTGCGCGCGCATTCAGCCGGTCACATAGGAAAGCATTCTCAATGCTTTCCTATGGACGCTGGCATGCTCTCACTGTGAAAATCACAGTGAGAAGCACGCAAGCGCCTCTAGTGGCTGTCAATGAGACAGCCACTAGAGGGAATGGGGGAACGCTTAACCCATTGATAAACATATGTTTATGAAAAAATGGGTTAACCCTAGAAGGACCTGGCACCCAGACTACTTCATTAAGCTGAAGTGGTCTGGGTGCCTAGAGTGGTCCTTTAACCCCTTAAGGATGTAAGCAATTGTACAAGTTCTGTCAAAACAAAATCTAGAATTTGAGCTATATCTATTAAACCAAAATTTTACTCTTTCATATTAAGTGTCACCACCATTATATAACATTTTGTTCAGGAGAAACAGGACTTTCATTTTAAATCAAATATTTATATATAAAACATAATTAAACATGAATAAGAAAAAATATATGTGAAAAATTAGGAATTTTTATTTTCCAAGTTCTGTGTGGTATTTTAACTGTGAAGGACATAATCCTCTTAGCTTTCACTGCAGTAAAACATACATATTTGTATGCTGTGATATCCCAAGAGTAGTGATGTCCCGAACGGTTCGCCGAACGATTCGCCGCGGACTCATCATTGAGTAAACTTTGACCCTGTACCTCACAGTCAGCGGACACATTCCAGCCAATCAGCAGCAGACCCTCCCTCCCAGACCCTCCCACCTCCTGGACAGCATCCATTTTACATTCATTGTGAAGCTGCATTCTTAGTGAGCTGTCCAGGAGGGTCTGGGAGGGAGGGTCTGCTGCTGATTGGCTGGAATGAGTCTGATGACTGTGAGGTACAGGGTCAAAGTTTACTCAGTGATGAGTCCGTGGCGAACCGTTCGGGACATCATTACCCAAGAGTATAACAACACCCACCATGTACAGGTTTCATGGTTTTTGGATAGTTACATGGTCAAATAAAGAGCTTATCAGTTTCAGCTTTTGCTTGTTGAGATTTGACAGATTGGTTTGCTGGGCCTTTGTTGCTTTTGAGACCTTATGGCAGCCCAGGAATGAAAATTAACCCTGTCATGGCATACCATTTGCAAAAATAGGAAATCCAGGGTATTCAAAATGGGGTGTGTCCAGTTTTTTTTAGGAGTCACTTAGTCACAAACACTGGCCAGAATTAGTGTTCATAATTGATTTTTGCACTTTTCACACAAAGACTGCTCGATTACTGATGATATCATCATCATCATCTGTAAAAAACTAGATGAATGGATGGTGAATGGATGTTCATGTAGACTCTTTCTTAATTTCTTCTTGTCTTCAGTTGATTGATATATATACGTCTTTTGTATATATATTCTTGGGCCAAATGCTCGCCACAATAATATATGTCTATATTATTGAAAAGTAGTAATACGCAATCTGACTTACGGTTTCTTCAGGTTTATTCTTAGTTACGGATACATAAAACATAATATAGGATGTTACAGGATAATGGACATTCAACAGCAGATGGTAATTGCTGGACTTCTGATGGGAGAGTTACATCGTTGTACAGAGCCAAGCCAAGAGTGACTAGACTGCGAGACCTCGTGTCCCTCTGTTACTATATAGAAGTGCTAATACTAACGTCAGCATATAACTCTAGCCATATAAGGACAAAACCCCCACATCCACATTCCAGAGCTCTCGGACAAAGAAAGCCTTGTGACTTATTGATACCATCTGTTACTTATGTCAATCCACACATCCATATATATAATCAATAGAAACATAGAATATGCAATATTCTACATTCCCTCTGTTTATGGTTTGTTTTAAAACCATAACACAATGTAATTAACCTGTCCATTCATACATCACTTGTATCACATTCATTGAGCATAGAACAGAATGTAGTCACAACTTTCTATTATATGAGAGTTCTTAGAAGATCGAGTTTCTATTCCTCATACTGCTTACTTTACTTTAAAACTCCTCTGTTTCAGCTATGTATTGATATCCATATCCATGTTACATCATAACTACTTGAACATAATATGTACATATATATAACAATGATAAATGAATAAAATAAAATATTTACAAATGTTGATCCAATAAACAATGTAAAGCAATGAGAAAGATCTACCTGCTCAGGTACAGTCATATCTTTGTAGATAACAAAATTAAGATGATAACTTTCTAGATAATAACTGTGTATCACTACCATATTCCTAATAAAGACACATATAACAAAGTATTTTAATTCTCAATACCTGATATTACTAAAGTACTAATACATGTATTGCTTGTATATCCGTGCACTTATATTTCCATGAATCATATGGTTTCTAGCAACTTTAAAATCTTTAGGTCATTTGTATTCAAGAATTGCATTCCTATACCATTAATACCACCTAGTGATGATTGTACCAGTACTTTACAATCATAGTATTTAATTTGTATATTCAGTAGGCTCTAACTACCTGAAATATATCAACACTACTTATAAGTCTCATTCAAAAGATGTGTTATCAACCATGAAGTTCTATAATAATTCTTCAAATAATGTTCATGGTGTTGACAATACTTATTGTCCTAGAAATTCTCCACCCAGAAATCTTTCTATCATAGATTTGTTTTTGTTTACATAATTCTAATTTTCACTAAAATTCCACCTTGTAGTAACAAACTTTAAATTCAATAGAAACATAGTTTACTTTAAAAGAACTTGGAAAGAACAATTTAAATTCATTAGCATCACTCTCTTCATTAGCATTGTGATGACTTATTAATGTAATACATCTTAAAAGCAGGATTGTCCTAATGTTCTGACCAATCCATATTCCTTAGTACACTTCAACTGACTAAAATAAAATAAACAAAAATAAACTTGGGATCATACTGCCCAGAAACTCTTATTCCTAGTCCGTGTCTAACAAACTTAGGGAAATCATAAAATCACTTACAACAACTTATTCATTGGATATCGTCATATCCAGAAACCTATTCTCCCTAGTCCATACCTTTATAGACTTAGGTCAAATATAATTGTGTACTATACTCTTTCCATTCAATTCAATTCCTCTTGGATCTCTGAACTCTTATATCCAAGGCTTTCTTAATGTATATAATTACTTAATATAAATCAATATAAATTATTCTTCCTTCGTTTTCTTCCTTATGTTACCATTGTTTGTTTTACTTTACCTCGATAATAAACAAATTACTCATTATAGTTAATCTATGAAATACTATTGAACTCAATCTTTGTGGTATTAAGTAACCATGATCCTTATTTTATCAACTTCATATTTTATCAACCTCTGATACTTCTCATTTTATGTATAGGTAATAATGTAATAGTTCTTTTCATAATACTATCTTTTCGTAATTGTACTCCATGTGTTATCTAGCTATAAGTAGTCTCTTTTGGTATTAATACTCATAACTGTTAAATAACTTTTCATTGTCTGTTTTCTTCATTAATATTTAGGAATATATATGTATGTTAGTGTCAATCTTTTATTTCTTTGTAAGTCTGTTAATCTTCTGTATCGAATGAACTCTGTAGAATCTTCCATCAAAGTTTGCAGATCAGATGAAAAGTCTCTTTCCAACAGTCGATGTCCAGTTGTCTAAAGGAATGCTTTCCTGATTTATTGCCACAAGGATCTGTCACGCTTTACCAGATCAGTTATTTCTGTCTATTTCGTTGCTTCATCCACACAGCTGCGCAGTTCTTTGCTTGGACGCTTGCCAATGTCTGCCACGTGCTTGCTTCTAGAATTCACGTTGTATCTTGTGCTTTTTGTCTCAGTTGTAGAAAATAGTCTTGTACAGTCTTTGATTTGAAAACTTTCTTTTTCTTACAAACACAGTTCTTCTATGACAGTCAGTCTAGATTCTTTTTTTTCTCTTCAAGTTTGTTTTCCCAGTTCCAAAATAGCTTTGTAACTCGATTCTTCTCTCTCCCCCCTTGAAGTGGGAACAAAACTTGAATAGAAGACTGGCAGGCTAGCCAATGTAAAAAACTAGATGAATGGATGGTGAATGGATGTTCATGTAGACTCTTTCTTAATTTCTTCTTGTCTTCAGTTGATTGATATATATACGTCTTTTGTATATATATTCTTGGGCCAAATGCTCGCCACAATAATATATGTCTATATTATTGAAAAGTAGTAATACGCAATCTGACTTACGGTTTCTTCAGGTTTATTCTTAGTTACGGATACATAAAACATAATATAGGATGTTACAGGATAATGGACATTCAACAGCAGATGGTAATTGCTGGACTTCTGATGGGAGAGTTACATCGTTGTACAGAGCCAAGCCAAGAGTGACTAGACTGCGAGACCTCGTGTCCCTCTGTTACTATATAGAAGTGCTAATACTAACGTCAGCATATAACTCTAGCCATATAAGGACAAAACCCCCACATCCACATTCCAGAGCTCTCGGACAAAGAAAGCCTTGTGACTTATTGATACCATCTGTTACTTATGTCAATCCACACATCCATATATATAATCAATAGAAACATAGAATATGCAATATTCTACATCATCATTATATGTTTTACTGTTCTAAAACACTCTGTGTGCAGCGAACTCTCACGGGTAAAATCTGTACAGGTTTTATGGGGTTTTGGATGTTACAGAGTCAAACATAGGGCTTTTAAATTCTCTGGTATTTCTGCCTGGGTTCTCAGGAAGGTCCCACAATATATAATTTAAAGGGACATTATAGTCACCTGAACAACTTCAGCTTAATGAGGTTGTTCAGGTGAGAACTATAGCTCCCTGCAGCCTCTCTCATGTAGAGAAAATGCAGTGTTTACATTGAAAGCTAGGAACACCTCCAGTTGCAGTCACTCGGAGTGGACCACTCAGATCTGCTGTGCACGAGCATCCTGTGATTCAGTATCTCCTTCCTCTGCATGCAGACACTGAACTTTCCTCATAGAGATGAATTGATTCAATTCATCTCTATGAAAAGATGCTGATTGACCAGAGCTGTGTTTGAATCATGCTGGCTCTGGCCCTGATCTGACTCCTTGTCAGTCTCAGCCAATCCTATGGGGAAGCACTGTGATTGGATCAGGCTATCACATGTCAGCACACTGCTTGTTTTTCCTGAGTCTAACAGCATGCAGATTTACAGCTTCTGGCTTGAATACAGTAAGATTTTTACTATATTTATGGAGGCATGAGGGGCCCAGGGGGGTTAGATGGTCGTGTTAACACTATAGGGTCCGGAATACATGTAGTTGCACTGGTGACTATAGTGTCCCTTTAATAAAATCATATACTTATATAAAAAAAAAAACAACATATACATGTATGTATACAACATGCAAAATCCAGCGCACTTACTCAGTTACTAAACAGCTATTTTAAGTAATTTAATAGTTTTCTTTAAAAATAGCTCACCTAAACTAAAAAAATAATGGGGGTTTAGTTACAGTATATGATCATATATTGCATAAGCCTCCACAACTTTGTGATGGAAGGCACCTTGACCCCAGGCTCAAGCTGCAGATGACCGGATGTCCAGTCTGTTTTTTATGCTTCGAACTTTTAGTCTAGTTTCAGTGTCTGACAAGTAAGCATAAATTCATGACTTGTGACATTCTGTGGTTTCTGAGGAGACAATTGCAGCTGCACCCTCAGCCCCCCCTTCTTATGTCCTAATGATTTTATTTTTATATATAACCATTAAAATATGCTTAGTTCTGTAAATTCCTTTTATGGTGCACAGTGACTTCAAGCATCCTGTTTTTGTCATGCAAGTCACAAAGATGTTTTACAAAGTACTATATAGTCTGAATGCACTTCCATAAAAGAGGAAGTAATCTTTGATTCACAAACTGCCTGGTCTGATTTGATTGCTTCCCCGAGCGGCTCGAACATATAACAATTTGGTTTCACCTGAACAAATCTTTGGGTAACTTTATATCCGTATCAACTTCAAAGTACCACATTCTTGGCAGGTCTTTTAAAATAAAACTATTACATTCTGTAAGACTTGAAATTGCTGTTTAGTGAATTGAGTAAGTGCACTGGATATTGCATGTTGTATGAATTGGCCCCAGCTGCACCCTCAGGTGAGGGGAGTCCTCTTAGTTTTATATATATATATTATATAACACGCTGGTCGTCCTTAAAGGACCACTACAGGCACCCAAAGCACTTCAACTTAATAAAGTGGTCTGGGTGCCAGGTCCAGATAGGATTAACCCTTTTTTTCTGTAAACATAGCAGTTTCAGAGAAACTGCTATGTTTACCTATGGGTTAATCCAGCCTCTAGTGGCTGTCTCATTGACAGCCGCTAGAGGGCTTCCGCGCTTCTCACTGTGATTTTCACACTGAGAAGATGCTTGCGTCCATAGGAAAGCATTGTGAATGCTTTCCTACGAACTGGCTGAATGCGAGCGCGGCTCTTGCCGCGCATTCAGCCGAAGAGGAGGAGAGGAGGCGGAGAGCTCCCCGCCCGGCGCTGGAGAAAGAGGTACGTTTAACCCCTTCCTCTCCATCCAGCCCGGCGGGAGTGGGACCCTGAGGGTGGGGGCACCCTCAGGGCACTATAGTGCCAGGAAAACGAGTATGTTTTCCTGGCACTATAGTGGTCCTTTAAGGTTAATTAATATTTCCTATATCAGTTCCTGGTCTGACATCCAGTTTGTTGTCCAGCTCTGTTTTTTCTAGATTGTAACTTCTTTGAGCAGGGTTCTCATCCACCTATAGTTCCTATAACATTTTGTAATTGTTTCATCTATTGTTAAATTTCCATTTTATAATATTATAACGCACTCTGGAATGTTTGTGTGTGTATATATATATATATATATATATATATATATTTGTATATATATATATATACCGTATTTATCGGCGTATAACACGCACTTTTTCTCCCTGAAAATAGGGGAGAAATCGTGGGTGCGTGTTATACGCCGGCCCTTTAAATTCTGCAGCCGCCTGAGCGCTCTGTGCAGCCGCCTGAGCGCTCTGTCAAGAGCGGTCAGGCGGCTGCAGTTGGTACTCACCTTCCCTGTAGCGTGGCCGAGCCGCTCTGCTGTCCGCGGTGGCCCAGTCCGACCGGGTACAGGAAACAGAAACAGAGTTTCTGTTTCCTGTACCCGGTCGGACTGACAGGAAGGTGCACACTGAGCGTGCACCTTCCTATCA